TAAACAAAGTGTCTTCAGATTTTGAATTTTTAACTGGAGAAAAGTTATGTTCTGTGAATACATATGATTTGTCAAAAACAGCCATTGATTTGACTCTTACATATTCTGAAATTTTAAGTCTGTAGAAATTCCATCTAAAATAGTTTTAAGAGGGGCGCCTAGCTGGCTCAGTTGCTGGAGCATGTGACCCTTGATCTCGGGGCTGTAGGTCTGAGTCCCGCTTTGGGTGTAGATATTACTTAAAAATAAAATCTTAAAAAATAAAATATTTTTAAGAAACACACAACAATAATACTTAGCATTGTATTTGGATTTTTAAAAATCAATTTTAAAAATTGATTAACGATTTTTGTTAGTGGAATTTTATGCAAATTTGGACATGGCCTTGAAAAAAATTTTAACTATACCAGTCACGATGGCATCCTATAAAAGAAGTTTCATAAGCTGCAGTTATTTAAAAATGATTTAAGATTCTCACTTAGTAAAGAGAAATTGACAAACATTCAATCTCTCAATAGAAAATGAGCTAAGCAAAGAAGTAGGTTTTGAAAATATTATTTATGAGATGTTAATTGTCACTATCAGGGAAATGCAAATGAAAACCACAATGAGGTATCGCCTCACATCTGTCAGAATGGCTAAAACCAACAACACAAGAAACAACACATGTTGGCAAGGATGTGAGAAAAAGGAACACTTGTACACTGTTGGTAGGAATGCAAGCTTGTACAGCCACTGTGGAAAATAGGATGGAGGTTCCTCAAAAAGTTAAAAATAGAACTATCATACAGAGCCAGCAACGGCACTACTGGGTTATTTACCCAAAGAATACAAAAACACTAATTCAGGGTGCCTGGGTGGCTCAGTTGGTTGAGCGACTGCCTTCGGCTCAGGTCATGATCCTAGAGTCCCTGGATCGAGTCCTGCATCGGGCTCCCTGCTCAGCAGGGAGTCTGCTTCTCCCTCTGACCTTCTTCCCTCTCATGCTCTCTCTCTACCATTCTCTCTCTCTCAATAAATAAAAATCTTAAAAAAAAAGAACTTTGAAAACCTCATTTAAAAAAAAAAACACTAATTCAAAGGGATATAAGCACCCCCATGTTTATAGCAGCATTATTTACAAGAGCCAAATTATGCAAGCAGGCCAAGTGCCCATCGAGTGATGAATGGATAAAGAAGATGAGATATATTTATATACAATGGAATATTATTCAGCTATAAAAAAAGAATGAAATCTTGCCATTTGCAATGACATGGATGGAGCTAGAGAGTATAGCGCTAAGCAAAATAAGTCAGTCAGAGAAAGACAAATACCGTATGATTTCACCTGTGTGGAATTTAAGAAAAAAAACAAAGGGAAAAAAGAGAGAGACAAATCAAGAAACAGACTCTTAACAATAGAAAACAAACTGATGGTTATCAGAGTGGAGGTGGGTCAGGGGATGGGGGAAATAGGTGAGGGGATTAAGCAGTGCACTTGTCGTGATAAGCACCGGGCAATGTATGGAATTGCTGAAACTAATATAATATTGTGCACTTGAGACATATAATACTGTATGTTAACTAACTAGAATTAAAATGAAAACTTAAAAAGCCAAAAAAAGAAAGAAAGAAAATTTTATTCATGAGTTTGCCTCCATTAAAGCCAGTTAAGTAAAATTATAATAAATTCTGGTTTGGGTATGAGTAAAATAATGTTGTGAGTTAATACACCTACTTTTCAGTTTTTAAATATGTTCTTTTTTTTTTTTCAAAGATTTTATTTATTTATTTGAGAGAGAGAGAGAATGAGAGATAGAAAGCACGAGAGGGAAAGAGGGTCAGAGGGAGAAGCAGACTCTCTGCTGAGCAGGAAGCCCGATGTGGGACTCGATCCCGGGACTCCAGGATCATGACCTGAGCCGAAGGCAGTCGCTTAACCAACTGAGCCACCCAGGCGCCCCTAGTTTTTAAATATTTTCAACTATTTTAGTGTTCTAGAAAAGTTCATCATTAAAAATACATTAAAAACCTATATAGGAACACACACACATTTTCCTTTTGCCTCAGGCTCCAAATTGGCTGTGCTCTGCAGTGTATTACTCAGAAAGTTCTAATAGTGCTTTCTGTTCACTTTACCTGCTCTCTCCTTTCTTGACTCCTTTGGGTGGATTGAGTAGCACTCTAAGGTGGCCTTAATCCCTTTACAGATCCTTCCAAGAGGAGCTGATCCAGCTCAGGGTCCATCTAGGAAAAAATGGGAAGAGGTGGTGGAAGATAGAAGCTTATGGGAGGGCCCTGTGTTGCTGGGGAGCAGACCTCTTGAGGAGAGGACCTTGCTCAGTGGTGCAGGTGTTCTAAACACCAGTGGCAAGGCTGCTCTGTGACAGCCAGAAGTTGGAGACTGCAGCCAACTGTCACTGCTGGAACAGAAAAAAACTGCCTTTCAGTTTCCTCTGTAGCCCCTATTGGCAGAATGCCAGGAAGCCAGCTAGGGGTCAAGGAAATATGGTTTTAAGAGTTTGAGCCCCAGCTTCACAGAGCAGAAAGCAGAAGACTGCATTTGGAATTGAGAGACAATTGCTTAATAACCAGAGTTTCTGCAGGCCTGGGGTAGGTTCACTCGTTCTTTCTCCTAGGTGCATTCTTTTTTGTGTTCTAACTCTAAACAAAGTGTTCATCAGGGTCCTCCTTACTTTGGACGCTAATCTCTGTCTCTTTAGACCACAATACCCCTTGTGGAAGAGACAGCCCAAAAGTTGGGCTCATCTCTGGGTTTCCACCCTGGCTGGATCCTCATAAGTAATTTTTTTTTAATATCTTGTTTAACTCTCTGATGTCTTCAGGAAGATCCTTTTTATATTTTGCCCAACTTTTCCAGTTGTTATCAGGAAGAGTGTAACTCTGATTTACTTAGTAAACCAAACCATACATTTGAAATGGTGTTTATGTATGTATTTGATGACATTAAAAATTAATTATAAACATCATGCCCATGGGGCGCCTGGGTGGCTCAGTTGGTTAGGCGACTGCCTTCGGCTCAGGTCATGATCCTGGAGTCCCGGGATCGAGTCCCACATCGGGCTCCCTGCTCCGCAGGGAGTCTGCTTCTCCCTCTGACCCTCTCCCCTCTCATGCTCTTTCTCTATCTCATGCTCTCTCTCAAATAAATAAATAAAATCTTTAAAAAAAACAAACAAACATCATGCCCTCTCCTTTCACCTACGACTATTATAAGAAATAGCTGTATGTACAATACTTCAGAACTTTTTAAAATATATTTATTTGTTTATGAGAGAGTTAGAGAGCAGAGTGGGAGGGACAGAGGAAGAGGGAGAGAGAATCTCAAGCAGACTCCTCACTGAGTGTGGAGCCCGACATGGGGCTCAGTCTCACAACCCTGAGATCATGACCTGAGCTGAAACCAAGAATCAGACGCTTAACGGACTGAGCCACCCAGGCGCCCCAATACTTCTAAACTTTTGATAAACTATTAGCAAATTCATCATTCATTATGTCGTTTATGTCACTTAAATGAAAACCTCCCATGGCAAGACAGCTCAGTATATGAGAGACCAGCACAAATATTCTGTCTCTCCCTCTGTCTCTCTGTCTCACTCCTGAGAGAGACAAGCTGGAGGCAGCAGGGTCAGACTTAGTCCTTAACCCCTAGGCATGAGTAGGGAGCAGTGATGAACAGGAGGCAGTGGGGACCAGAGTTAAAGGCCCTTCTCTGGTGCACAGAAGGGAGGCCCAATTATCAGGGAGCTCAGATGGGAGAATAGGTGACAGGCCCAGACACAGAAGGGGGGCGATTCAGATTTTAGTCTGTGCTATAGGCCCCTCTCAGCCTCATAGGATCTGGTGCAGGCCCAGGGAGCCCAGATGCCACCCAAATGCAGTTCTGAGATCAGTTCCCACTGTATCAGGGCTTTTTCTGCAGAAAACAATGAATTACACTGTCCAGGCCTCTGGCCATCCTGGAAACCACCTTGTTTTGAAGGAGGATTTCTTCCCACATGAAATCATGTGTCAGACCAAGCCCCCTCGTACTCTTACCTGCAAGAACTCTTGTCCCACTATTCTATGCCTTCAAGGACCTTCCAGCTCCTTCCTTACAGATGGAGGTCCTGTCCCAACCAGACCTTTGCCTGGGCTACTGCCCAACCTGGGATGCCCTCTCCACCCCCTGCCAATCCAGACCCCCTCCTTTCAAGGCTCAGCTGCTGTGGTACCTCCACTAATCTCTTATCAAACTGGCCAGCCTTCACCAACACCACCCACGACAACCCTCAGCCAGGATGACCCTATTACAGAAAAAGATGTGACATAAATTGACCAGGGAGTGGGTAACCCCCTTTCCAAGATGGCTACTAGTAACTAATGTTTAGTATCTAGAGTCTCCTTTTTGTGCACATATACCATATCACAGAAGCAAATTTCAATACTAGATACTAAAACAAAATGGTTTCCCATAATATTATTATCAAATTTCATTTTTATGAAAAATAAATAAAATCCTTTTTCTCTCAGTCAAAACAGATCCAATTCACCCTTTTTCACGGAATGTTTGACCTATTGCAGGCGGGGCACCTTCCTGCAACTAAAACCCCAGGTGGACCTGCAACCTGTCTGGCTAGGGGTGAGAATGGGAAGACTCCTGGCCTCCTCCGCCCTCCCCGCCATCCGTCCGTGGCTCCCATGAGCCGGGAAGGCAGTAGGTGCAGGGGCAGACGCAGGAGCGGAGGGCGCGCGCTGCAGAGGCTGGTCGGGCCCACTGGGGCGCCCTCCTAGTTGGGGGCGGAGGTCTGTGTCGCCCCCTGCGGCCACGCTGCGCGGCGGCGTTGCGGATCCCCGCTCGGCGGTGGAAGCCTTCTGACTCCAGCCCCCTCCTCACGAGGCCGCGCCGCTGGGTCACCTTCATCAACGGTCGGTCAGGACCCCATCGTCGCCCTCTGCCCGTCGCCGCCCCTCCTCTCGAGACCGGCCCCTGCCCGCCCGTCTGTCCAACCCTGAGCAGCATGCGGCCCCTGGGCCTCGAGGGTACCCCCGCGCTCCGCTGGCGACCTCTGCTGCGTCTCCTGCTCCTGCTATCTCTGCTGCAGTGGCGGGTACCCCGCGCCCAGACCACGCCCGGAACCCCCAGAGCCCCGACCACACCCGGAGCCCCCAGCTCCCGGACCCAGCCGGCCACCTCCAGCACTCCGAGTCTGCGGGAGCGCGCGCAGGCCCTGATGCGGGACTTCCCTCTAGTGGACGGGTGCGTAGGTGCGGTGTGGGGGCGCGTGGAGACTGAGCCCACCCCAAAGGGGGTAAGGAGTTCTCAGCGTGCAGGGCTAGTGAGGAAGCCCCCTCATACCATCCCCTGTATGCACTCTCTCCTCCATCACCCAAGCCCCCTCCCCCCATTTCTGCTCCCCCGCCCCCCCTCCCGTCCCCCCTCCGGTCCTGGTGTATACCGTCCCCCCTCCAAAAGCTGCACCTCAGGAGTTCTTCCATGTTGTCGGTGTGACACGGGGAGGTGGACCGGGAGAGGACAGGCTCAGGTATGTGGACATGCCCTGCCTGACCTGGAGGTCATGTCCCCAACTCTAACCTTGTCTTGATGCCCCCAGCCACAACCATTTGCCCCAGCTCCTGAGACAGCTTTTCCAGAACAGGCTACAAGATGTTAACCTGCGACATTTCAGTCGTGGCCAGACCAGCTTGGACAAGCTTAAGGATGGCCTCGTGGGTGCCCAGGTACCACAGGGATACACAGGGGCCACAGCATGGCTGCTGGGAAATTTTGGGACCACAGAAACCTGGATAGGCAGGCCTCTGGGTGATTAGAATCATAGGACACACAGTGTGTCATCATGTGGCTGCCGGGAATGTGGGGGCACTGGAGGCCAAGAAAGGCCAGCCACATGGGTACCCAGGTTCTGTGGAGACACACAGAAAGTGACCCAAAAATCTCTGGTGAGTGTGGGGGCGGCTAGAGCCAAAAGCACATAGTGGATTGGCCTTGGGGCATTCACACAGCACATGGACAAACAGCAGACAATGCTGTTTCACAGTCTGACTGCTGGCAACAAGCTTCACAGTCATCAGGATACCATAGGGTCATGCAGTATTTCATTCTGGGCCACTGACCCAAGTGAGTGGCTTGGGGGCTGAGGAGGAATGGCAGGCCAGGGACATTGGAGACCACCCTAATCTCATTCCGGACCCCCGGGGCCTACCTCTAGTTCTGGTCAGCCTATGCCCCCTGCCAGACCCAGGACCAGGATGCCCTGCGCCTCACCCTGGAGCAGATTGACCTCATTCGTCGCATGTGCACCTCCTACTCTGAACTGGAACTAGTGACCTCAGCCAAAGGTGTGCTGGCAAATGGGGTATAGTTAGGAGCTCACTCTGGTGGTTCTGGTCCTGGGCCCTGACCACTTGATGATCCATCCTCTTCCAGGTCTGAACAGCACTCAAAAGCTGGCCTGCCTCATTGGTGTGGAGGGCGGTCACTCACTGGACAGCAGCCTCTCTGTGCTGCGTGGTTTCTACCTGCTGGGAGTGCGCTACCTGACACTCACCTTCACCTGCAACACACCCTGGTGAGCACAGTGCCTGGCCAGGGTGAAATGGTAGACGGCATGGTGGGGCAACGGCCAAAGAGGTGAGGACAGAGGAGTCCACCCCAGCAGGTCCCTCGCGCTCCCAGAAAGTAGCTGACCCAGGTCCTTACTCTGTTCCGGAGGTGGGACGGATGGACAAACAGACAGACTGCGGAGCCCCCAGGCTCTGATGCCCATGATGTGGCCTTTGAGAAACTTCCCTCTTCTGGCTGTCCTGCAGGGCAGAAAGCTCCACCAAGTTTAAACACCACTTCTACACCAACGTCAGTGGGTTGACAAGCTTTGGTGAGGTGAGGACTCCTGTTCCATACCCTACCCCACCTGTTCCCTACAAACAGATAATGTGTACGTATGTGCGTCCTTGACATCTCCCCCACCTCAAAAATAAAATTTAAAAAAACTGTCTCTGCAGAAGGTGGTAGGGGAAATGAACCGCCTGGGCATGATGGTGGACTTGTCCTGTGCATCAGACACCTTGGTACGACGAGCCCTGAAGGTGTCAAAGGCTCCCGTGATCTTCTCCCACTCTGCCGCCAGGGCCGTGTGCAACAGTGTGCTGAATGTTCCCGATGACATCCTGCAACTTCTGGTGAGTAGCTACCTCAGCCCTCAAGCCCAGAGCTGGGTGTTCTTCATACAAACATTCTAGACCTTGAACAGAGCTACTAGCCCAGGCCTCCCCCTTGGATGCAAGGCTGGGTAACCCTCCGTCATCTCTGAAAATCATAGCCAAATCGGCTCCACTCGGACCCACAAACCCAGAGGTGAAGCCTCTTCCGCCCCTGAAGCTAGGACTGAACACTGTCCTACCAGGGCCCCCAGGGCCCAGAGCAGGCCATCAGGCCAGAAGAGCCAAACTGCGTGTGCATTTGTTTATCCCTGTAGAAGAAGAATGGTGGCATTGTGATGGTGACGCTGTCCATGGGGGTGCTTCAGTGTAACCTGTTTGCTAATGTGTCCACCGTGGCAGGTGAGCCTCACTTGGACTTCTGCCCTTCTAGCTTGAGCCTGTGACCGCAGGGGGCCCTCAGGACAGCTCTAGCAGCTCAGCACGCCTGTTGGGCAATGGGCCGACCTCTGACAACCCAGGGGAGCAGACACAGCTCTTACTGCCACCCAGGTCTGGGGCCACAGTCAGTGCTGGTGTGTTTGGGGGAAGCAACTGCCTCTGCTTCTGAAATTCTTTGCTCTCACCTCTCTGGACAGGACAGGCAGGCTCTCAAGGAACCCAGAGGCAGGGTGGCTCCTGGGCAGAAAAAAATTCTAAAGGTGCAGCTCTGAAGTCTACTGTTGAGCCTATGGCCACTTCAGAACTCACAACTGGCCAGGGGCTCCCTGAAGTCAGCTGCCATGGCATGGAATGCTGTGGGCAGGAGAATTGGCAGGGCTAAGCTTCCCCAGACTGGGGCTAACTCCAGCCTATGCTGCCCACTAGTAACCCCTACCCCCTAGATCACTTTGACCACATCAGAGCAGTCATTGGATCAGAGTTCATCGGGATTGGCGGAAATTATGATGGATCTGGTCGGTGAGTGTTTCCCTGGGGTTTGTCTTGGGCAGGACAGCAGGGAGTCCTTTAGTCTCTGTTCCCATGCCATGGTCCTCCCATCCTTCAGACCTTGCCTATAGGTTCTGGTTTTCCAGCTCCCCTGGATATCTCTCCACTCCAGGGCATGTTTCCTGGGCTCCCCCTGTCCCTCCTGTGGCCTGGTGGACCCACTCCCACTCCAGATCATCACATTCACTAAGTACCCTCCTCCTGCCAGCAGAGCTCATTTGCCCAGCACATGCTCCACTCCCAGCCCAGGAGCTCTGTTTTGGACCAATCATCTGCTCAGGGCATAAATGCCACAGAAGGAGTTCCCAAAGTGACATTCAGTAGCCTGGGGGACATGGCCTTCAATTTTGCAAATGTGATTGGGGCTGGTCGGACGGTGGGCCCTAGACCAGGATCAGGGCTGAGGTTCCACAGCTGGCTGACTCACGGCCACACAGGTTCCCTCAGGGGCTGGAGGACGTGTCCACGTACCCGGTTCTGATAGAAGAGTTGCTGAGTCGTGGCTGGAGTGAGGACGAGCTCCAGGGTGTCCTTCGTGGAAACCTGCTGCGGGTCTTCAGACAGGTGGAACAGGTGTGCTGGGCTGGGCAAAAGGATGGTGCCATGGTTTGAGTAGATGCGGGGGCTGCCACTGACCGCTGACTCCCGCCCCCAGGTAAGAGAGGAGAACAGTGGGCAGAGCCCTGTGGAGGATGAGTTTCCAGACAGGCAGGTGGTCAGTTCTTGCCACTCCCACCTCCTGTCTCAGCCTCAGAGTAAACACCTGGCCACACACCTGGAGGTGACCAAGTGGCCAACCCATCAGGTCCTCCAGAGACCCTCGAAAGCCTCCCCATACTTTGTTCTAGATCTCGTGGCTGCTGCCACATTCTCAATCCTCAGCCTGTGTCTCTGGTGACTGGCCAGTCCCCCTGAGGCCACTGCGGCAAAGTCTCACAAAGTGCCCCTCCTGGTCATCCAGACACAAGTATATGCTGAGAATAAACATTTTGGGTGTGGACCCTGGTGTGGAAGTCCTTCCTTCTCCCTGGGGCGCAAGGGAGTGGGGTCTGGTGGGCTCTTGGTTGGTGAGGGGTCTTGTAGGTCTAGCCCCAGGTGCTCAAGGTGAGTGGCCTCCAGCTTTGTCTCTTTTGGGAAGCACTGAGGGATCTTACCATATTCTTATGCTAAAAGCCTGAGCCCACAGAAGAGCACAAAGGAATCTAGTTCTGTGTGGTGTCTATCCCATCATGGACTGTGACAATGGGTGGGTTCCTAGTCTCTGAAGGGTTCAAGTGTGTGTGTGTGTGTGAGTGTGTGTGTGTTTTAAGATTTATTTATTTATTTTAAAGGGGAGGGGAGAGGGAGAGGGAGAGAGAATCCAAGCCGACTCCACACTGAGCACCTGAGCACCAAGCTGGAGCCAGACGTGTGGCTCCATCTCATGACCAGATCACAACCTGAGCCGAAACCAAGACTGGGCCACCCAGGAGCCCCGTTGTGTGTGTGTGTGTGTGTGTGTGTGTGTGTGTTTAAGAAGCTGAAGCTGATACCATTTATAAAATAAACAGTAACTTGTTTGGAAATGTCAAGAGAGAAAATTTATAAAGATTTTCTATTTTTTCAAATAAAGTCCTCATTTGTTGTTAAACTGATTTTTTAGTGGAGGAGGAAACATAACATCTTAAAAAGAAAAGGAAACTAGCACCATTTGCTTGGCTTACTACAGACCCTCCATCTTGGGCCACTCTTCGTCTCCTGATCCACTCAGGCCAGAGCCTGATCTAAGTTCCTATCATGGGAACTTGAAATTGGGAGAAAGAGAAATTATATTCTCTGTGTATGTATATGTTATATACAGTGCCTATGTTATAAATCATGTCCATATATGTGTAGGTCTATTTTTGAATTCTATTCCGTTTATTTGTTTATCACGGTATCAATACCACAATGTCTTTTTTTTTTTAAGATTTATTTATTTGAGAGAGCGAGAATGAGAGAGAGAGAGTACATGAGAGGGGAGAGGGTCAGAGGGAGAAGCAGGCTCCTCGCCGAGCAGGGAGCCCGATGCGGGACTCGATCCCGGGACTCCGGGATCATGACCTGAGCCGAAGGCAGTGGCTTAACCGACTGAGCCACCCAGGCGCCCTCAATACCACAATGTCTTAATTTCACTAACTTTCAAACAAGTCTTGCTATCTGGTAGAATGAGTTCTGTCACTTTAAGGGTATTATTTCAGTCAGTGTTTGATCAGATAAGTAGATCCACTATGAACGACATAAAATAAGAGATTTATCATAGGGATTGGACTTCATGCATATATAAGAGCCAATGGAAAAATCTACGCAAGGCTCTTTGTTACCTGTGCATCTGGTGTTTGGTCTTAGTCTATACAGATAAGCCAGCCAGAAGTTAGGAGGGAGGTTGGATGTGAGGTGAAGGAGAACAAGGACAAACTGGGACAACTGGATATTCATTTGGGGGGGTGGAGAATATTGATCCCTTAGCTCACACCATACAGAATGCAACATACAATATAAAATTAATTTGAATATGTTATTGATCCAAATGCAGAAGGCAAAAGAGTAAAACTCCTAGAAGATAATGTAGGAAAATACTTTGGTGACCTCAGCACAGGGACCCTGGACATCAAAAGCCTTAATGACAAGGAAAATATTGATAAATTGGATAACATTAAAATTAATAACTTACATTTGCCATAAGATACCATTAAAAAGAGTGAAAAAGCAAGCCACAAAGTAAGAGAAATTTTCAACATATGTAACTGACAGAAGATTTATATCCAGAGACAGCCCAATAAAAAAATGGGCAAGAGGGGCGCCTGGGTGGCTCAGTCATTAAGCATCTGCCTTCGGCTCAGGTCATGATCCCGGGGTCCTGGGATCGAGCCCTGCATCGGGCTCCCTGCTCAGCGGAGAGCCTGCTTCTCCCTCTCCCACTCCCCCTGCTTGTGTTCCCTCTCTCACTGTGTCTCTCTCTGTCAAATAAATAAATAAAATCTTAAAAAAAAATGGGCAAGATATTTGAATAGGAACTTTATAAGAAAGGATATTCAAATGGCCAATGAGAATATGAAAAGGTAGTCAACCTTATTAGCCACTAAGGAAATGCAAAATAAAACTCATAGTGAAGACAACTAAAAATTTCAACAGGTGGACAGTACCAAGTGTTAGCAAGAATGTGGAGAAACAAGCATACTTACACCCGCTGGTGGCAGTATAAACTGATAAAAACTGCTTTGGAAGACAGTTTGACAGTTTTTACTAAAGTTGAAGACCCATATATCCAAGGACAGTTACACACAACTTGCAAGAATCTCTCAAAGTAATGTTGAGTGAAAGTCAGGACAAAATAATATATCTCATATTATTCTATGTATATGAAGTACAAAAACAGGCAAAAGTGATCTATACTGTTACAGTCAGTTTGGGGGGAGGTAATTCCTGGAAGCGGGCATGAGGAAGGGCTTTTGGGTTTCTGGTAAAGTTCTATATTTTGATCCGGGTGCTGGTTGCATAGATGTATTTATTTTGTGAATATTCAGCATGCTATATACACATATGGTATGTGAATTTTTCTTTTTCTTTCTTTCTTTATTTTTTTAAAGATTTTATTTATTTGTTTGCCAGAGAGAGAGGGAGAGAGAGCACAAGCAGGGGGAGTGGCAGGCAGAAAGAGAAGCAGGCTCCCCACTGAGCAAGGAGCCTGATGCGGGACTCAATCCCAGGACCCTGGGATCATGACTTGAGCCGAAGGCAGACACTTAAGGTGTCCTGGTATGTGAATTTTTCTGTATGGATATTTTTTGTCAACAAAAAGGTTTTTGGCGATGCCTGGCTGACTCAGTCGGAAGAGCACACAACTCTTGATCTCCGGGTCTTGAGTTCAAGCCCCATGTTCAGCACAGAGCCTACTTAAAAAGCAAAATAAAAACCAGAAAAGGCTAAACTTAATGTTCAGGGATGTATCCTCAGGTTGAGCCTTTAAATAGGAAAACAAGAAAGTGTTATCATCAAACTCAGATACTTAGAAAATGCCTGAGTTACACCACTTAATGTGTCAATTATATCACAATTAAAAACAAAACAAAACAAAAGACTAGGGGTGCCTGAGTGGCTCAGTCGATTAAGCATCTGACTCAGATTTTCAGCTCAGGTCATGATCTCAGCGTCATGAGATCAAGCTCCGTAGGGTTCCGCACTCAGCAGGGAGTCTGCCTAGGATTCTCTGTCTCCCTTTCCCTCTGCCCCTCCCCTCTGCTCTCTTTCTCTCTCAAATACATAAAATCTTAAAAAAAAAATTCTCTTGGGATGCCTGGGTGGCTCAGTTGGTTAAGCATCTGCCTTTGGCTCAGGTCATGATCCCGGGGTCCTGGGATCGAGTCCCACATTGGGCTCCTCGCTCAGCAGGGAGTCTGCTTCACCCTCTGCCTGCGACTCCCCCTGCTTGTGCTCTCTCTCTCTTTTTCTCTCTGACAAATAAATGAATAAAATCTTTAAGAAAACAAAGGGTCGCCTGAGTGGCTCAGTGGGTTAAGTGCCTTCCTTTGGCTTAAGTCATGATCTCCGGATCCTGGGATGGAGCCCCACATTGGGCTTCCTGCTCAGCGGGGAGTCTGCTTCTCTCTCTCTCTCTCCCTGCCTCTCCCTCTGCCCCTCCCTACTGCTCCTTCTCTCTCTCTCTCAAATAAATAAATAAAATCTTAGGAAAAATAAAAAGATTACCTCCTCCCCCACCCCCCGCTCACACATGCACACGTGCTATTTCCCTAAAATAAATAAATCTTAAAAAATAATAAAATAAAAACCTCATTTTTAAGTAATCTCTACACCCAACACGGGGCTTGAACTCCTGACCCTGAGATCGAGAGTCACATGCTCCACTGACTGAGCCAGCCAAGTGGCCCTCATTTTAACCATTTTTTTTTTTAAAGATTTTATTTATTTATTTGAGAGAGAGAGCACATGAGAGGGGGGAGGGTCAGAGGGAGAAGCAGGCTCCCAAGGAGCAGAGAGCCCGAAGTGGGCCTCGATCCTGGGACTCCAGGATCACGACCTGAGCTGAAGGCAGTCGCTTAACAAACTGAGCCACCCAGGCGCCCTCATTTTAACCATTTTTAAGTGTACAAATCAGTGACATTAATTACACTCACAAATGTATAAACATCACTGGTATTTCCAAAACTTTTTCATTATCCCAAACAAAAACTCTAATCATTAAGCAATAACTTCCCATTTCCCTTCGCCTCAGCCCCTGGGAACATCTGTTCTTTTTCCAGTCTCTATGAGTTTATCTACTGTAGCTGACTTCTGTAAGTGGAATCATACAACATCTGTCCTTTTGCATCCATCTTATTTCATTGAACCAAATGTCTTCAAGGTTCATCTACATTGTAGCATATATCAGACTTCATTCCTTTTTTATGGCTGAAAAATATTCCCTTGCATGGGCAGATCACAGTTTGTTATCCACACATCTGTCGATGAAAACTAAGGTTGCTTCCACCTTTCAGCTGTGCAGTGAACAATGGCATACAGGCATCTGTTCAAGTCCTTGCTTTCAATTCCTTTGTGTATATACCTAGAATAGAATTGCTGGATCATATGCTAATTCTGTGTTTAGCTTTTTGCCAAACTGCCAAACCGTTTTCAATGGCAGCCAGCTGTACCATTTTCTATCCCCACCAGCAATGTGCACGGGTTCCAGTTTCTCCACATCCTTGCCAGCACTTATCTTCCATTTTTTTGGTGATAGCTAACCTAAAGGGTGTGAAATGACCACAACCTCACATTGTGGTCTTGATGCGCATTTATCTAGTGATTAATGATGAGCATCTTCTCCAGTGCTTATCAGCTGTATGTATGTCCATAAACTCCAAGTCAGTGTCCCTTCCCACC